CTTAGGTTGTTACTATCAACATAAACCAATACCTATACTGTATTATACAATATTATATATATTTTTGGTAATAAATGTACTGCTTTCTGGATCGCACGTGATACACAGTTGTTCGTTCTTTTTTCAACGATAATTTGTACACCTTACAGGAAGTGTCACGATTATTTAATATTAATTTAACCAATTAATATTAATTAATTTATTAACTTAATTAATTTGATACTAATAACACGAAGAGAAACGTACGTTGAAGAGCATTAACCAATACTCTTGACAACCTTTCATTTGAAAACTCGTTTCCATCTATACAACAACAAAAAATCCATTTACGTATTGAAAAACCAACATTTCAATATTTTATTCGTAAATGAATATTTCACAATATTTAACAATATCTAGGAAATCAACAGTTCAAATGATCAAGGCTAAATGAAACTATAATGTTACCATAAAATTATAAGTATCGTGTATTTCCCCAGTTCAGATTCGTGAATGAAAGTCCTCGATGTATGCGTTTGTTACTACAATGCTAGCAAGCTTGTGTACATTTAATAAACGTTACGTGACCGTGCCACAGTGAAGTGAATTAATTTCTTCATTGATATTTTTCGTATCGATACCTTACTTTCTAGCAGAGTCGCATTCCGATTGCATGGGTACATTTTCGCGATCATTCGGTTTCACGGTATTCCGGGCGGTAACGGGTGAAAGTAAGTGGATGCTGCATAATATGTATCCATTTAAACTACCTGAAAGTCATCTGGGACATGTGGGTGGATCGAGATTATTTCAAATGAGCGCGAAACAGTGAGCAATCTAAAGTCATGAATGTACCTTTGGCAATTGGACATCAATCCTCTTCATCCAAATAAACAATAGTCAATTATAATTACCAATTACAATTATCTATTTATCACTTTATTATAGTACAGTTCAATGCATCTCATTGATGATGTTCATTTCGAACAGTTTAATTTACCGTTAAAATTGATAAAGTAACTAGTATTGAAATATTGAAATAGAGAATTTTGTTCTAAATGAACAATTTTCATAGTATTTTACTGATGAATAACATATCGCTGGAGACCTCTGTGAGAGAGAATCAACAGCTATGAGAAATTCCGATTAAGCTGAAAAAATCGAAGTGAGCGGGCAACCAGTCTCTATTGCCAATATCAACGATCCCTCGCCTGAAGAACGAGTTTCTAGCTCGCTGCTACTTCACTCCGTATTTCTTGGTACACATTAAGGCAGCCTCGGCTTTTCCTCTTCATCACGTAGTTCATATGACTACCAAGAGATGGTGTATGCTCATTCAATTACGAGATCACGTTTAAGATTGTAAATATGTAAGGTACTCTGTACTTGATGCTACAATTGTAAAGTGGACAATTCCATGTGAAAATATATGTCGAAAATATAGAATCAAACTGGTTCGTTCGGTCCTCCTTTTTGATAAAATTCCAATCAAAAATTCGTCAAACGAACATTTACCTAAATGTGAACAAAACAAATTCAAACTCGACTTGTTTGGAAACGACGTCTTAAATGAAAACATTCTGCCATATACATATATGTCAGCAGCAAGTAAAGCACTTGATCTTTTTTGAAAATCAAGTATCAAACGAGACATTTTATTTTATATTTTCGATTCATCTTTTTACAGAGAACTATAATCTTTCAGTTCAAGTCATTAGTAAC